ATTCACTTAGGCAAGTATCTCAAACTTCAGTGAGATTGGAATTACCTGGAGGTTTCTTTTTTACAAACACAGATTCTCTATGTTGTTCCCTGCATTTCAGATTCAGTCTGTCTGGAATGGGGACCCAAGGGTCTCAATTTCTAACCAGGTCCCAGGTGATGCTGTGTTGCTGGTGGCCCACACTTCTGGAAGTACACGTACCTCTGTTATAGTATTTATATTCTGTTTTTTATTATTTTATAGCAATGGCATAAATTAGTATAGTCCAATAGAAATATAATATGAACCACATACACACTTTTTTTTTTTTTTAAAGATTTTTATTGGGGAATTAGGGGGATAGGAACAGTGCTGGGGAATTGGGGTAAGAGGAACAGACAAGTTGCTGTCGTTTTGTTCTTCAATCTAGTTGTGGAGGATGTCGCTTCACTGGCCCAAGTTGGCACCATCATCGCGCTCTTCTCTGGCGAGGCAGATCAGTCGCCGGCTTCTGGACGGCCGCTCACTGCGGCTGCTGGCCGCTCACGCTGGCTGCTGGCTACACACGGTAGCCCATGGCAACCCACTGCCACAGGTGCTGCAGCCCACGCCGTCGCCGGCGACTCCCGGCAGCCCAGCTCCAGGTTGAGCTGTTGTTCAGCATCTTAGCTGTAGAGGGCAGTGTCACTGGCCCTCATATGTGGGATCCGAACCGGGGCCCTCTGGCATCCCAAGCGAGTTCTTAACCGTCGCGCCACTCGGCCGGCCCACATACACACTTTTAAATTGTATAGTAGTCATATTAATAGAAAGATGAAATCAATTTTAATGATAAATTGTATTTAACCAAATATATCCAAAATATTATCATTTCAATATGTAATCAATACAAAACTTGTTAATGTAATATATTACTTTTTTTGTACTAAGTCTTCAAAATTAAGTATGTATTTTATGCTTACGGCCCATTTCCATTTGAACCAGCCCCATTTAGAGTGCAGTAGCTTCATGTGGCCAGTGGCTGCCATATTGGACAGTGCAGACTTCCATAATACTGTGCACTAAACAGTGTTAGAAACCCTTCATATGTTAACTCACTTAATCCTCACAATAATCTTAGGTAGGTAGCATTATTAATCTCATTTTACAGGTGAGGAAACTAAGGCACAGAGAGCTTAAGTAACTTGCCCAAGGTCACTGCGCTAGAAAGGGGAAAGGGGAAAAAGGGTTTGAACCTCGGCAGTCTGGCCACATGACCACAGGGCACTCCTGCTCAACCACAACTCCCTGGATGGTAGGGAGGAAACCATATTACTTTGTGGGTCCCCATAGCATAGACAATGCTTAGCTCAGGTAAAACACCCCGTAAATATGTACTGAATGAATTAAATGAGTGAGAGAGGTAAGTAATTTGTCACATGTTCAGCCAACGGGATTCGCTGTCCTCAACCATCGCTGTATAGGACTAGGTGAGAGGGAATATTTTTAAACTTAAATTTGAAATTGCCTTTTTCAAGGAGCTTCCAGGCTAATGGAAAGATGTGAGGAAATACACAGAGACAAAAAGAAAAGTCTTTCCTACTATCATTTAGTGTGGCATTCACTATTAGGGTGACTGGAACCAGGAAGGGATACACCAAGGGAGGTTACCCAGAAGTAGTGAATCCTTGAAGGGGTGTTAAAAGAGATGGAAGCAGTATGGTGGACTGAGACAAGGGAAAGGAGTGACAAAAAGGAAGAATTGTCTTCCCATCAGCAGCAGCATTGACTGAATACTGTACCTTGCAGGCCTGCTTCCCTGCAAGCAGACAGAGCTACAAATTTGCATACAAGAGGTCTTTCAGAAATGTTCCCAGAATCAATACTTTTAGGAGAGTAAGGGAAGCAGGATTGGGCACGGGAAGAAGTTGGGCCGAGATGCAGCCATAGCAAAGGCCTTAGCCTTTTCGAAGTGTAACCATGAGCGATGCAGCTCTCTTCCGCTAAGAACAGTTCCTGGGGAGAAGCTCAGTTGTGTGGAAAAAGGAATCTGGATAATATACTACAGTGTCCACTACACCAACTCAGTGCAAAATCTACAAAACCAGTGAGAGAACATCGTGGCAAATGGAAACTGCCAGACAGAATCCCAACATAGCCAGCAGCTTATCTGGGAAACTGATGCAAGGTCATACAACTAGTCAGTGAATTTATACCTACGTAGTTCATGTCTGTTTTCTCTCCACACCTTTCCAGGAAAGAGAAGAGAGAAGTGAAGAATAGAACTAAGCACCCTTTATTACGAAGTGTCCTATTCCTAGAGCTGTAGAATTCAAACACTGTGTGTTCTAGATTCTAAAAGAAATTGGGACCCCATTTGGGGGGACGGCACACTTAACTATGTGCCTTGGGTACCTGAATTGTTGGGAGCTGTGGCCAGATTTAGGGGAGAACAGCTAAGCAAATCTCAGTGGCAAGGAACTACCTCCTTTCCTCCCCTCCCCCCTGCCTAAGAGGTAGGAACACCTACCTTTCTACTCCTGGGGATGGTGTCTGCAAAAGACAACATTCCCAAGTTGGGTCGTGGTGGCCCCCACACCACCCCCAAGGTTGGCCTCGGGATTAGAACCTTTTAGGGATGTGCTTCAGCTCTGATCCTGATTATTTTACTGGGTTCAGATCAGAGGCAGAGTTTGACTGTGTGCCTGGAGTGGAGCCAGGCCAGAGTAGAACACCCCTTGGCCTGACTTTGACTGTGAGCGGTCATCCACTTATCATCTCCAAGGTCTGCTGAACCTAGGAGTCCTTTGATCAGGCGGTGCATTCACTGGGAGCACAAGGAATCAGGTGTTACCACTAAAGGGCTCTTGTAGCTGGCAATGTCCACAGCTGAAAACAGAAAAAGAGAGGTAGAGAAGGGGAGTAAAGAAAAACTAATGTATTACATGTACATCTTGGCGCCCCCTTGATTGCATACCCTTGAATAAATCTTTTGACCTCTCTGAACTTCAGTTTTAAGGAACAAGACCCACCTCACAAAAGTTTTTATGAGGGGGTGTTGAATGAGATGGGGAAAATATGGTGGAGTAAAATACTTGCAAACATAATAGATGTTTAATAAATGTGTGCTCTTATTCTGAAAATTAGCAAACTGTAAAGTGTGCTAAAGTTTCCCACCCATGGAGAAACTTATCTTTTCAGAATTTGCCAGAACTTTCTGTGCCAAAATGCATTTTATTACCCATGGTGGGGAATGAACTAATAGCAGCCATTTCCATGGTGGAGATCATGATGCCAGTTTATCTGGGAAATGCGATGCCACACTCAGCCCTCAATTAATGTTTATTGAATATGTGAATGAAGAAATGAATAAATGGTGGAATGGTAGTAAGAACACTCAGGTTTCTTCTCTTCCAGGAAGCCTTCGTAGGTTCCTCCAGCTTTCATGGGTTCCCTGTCAAGTTGTTAAGTGTGTGTGTGGGGGGGGGGATAGGAAGGAAGGAGAAAGTGTGGAAAACAAAGGAATGAATAGATGAGATCATTCTTAAGAAAAGGTGAAGCTACAGCTAATTGTAATAGACTACAATACTATTAGCATTGAGAAGGGGCAGGGAAAAATCTCTACCCCCTGTGTCGCCATGACCTTTCCTACAAGGGCCAAGTAAAAACAAGGGAATCCCACATCCCCGAGGGAAGGAGTGGTCAGCGGGGGACCCACCCTGGGAACGCCTGTGACACCACCCCTGACTATTTCACACCCTCATTAGAATAAAATCCTAAACTTCTTGTTCTTCTATCCAGTGGTTCTCAACCTGTGGGTCGTGACCCCTTTGGGGTCGAACGACCCTTTCACCGGGGTCGCCGGGTACTCATATGTGGGTGTATCTGCATGTGGGCCTGGAGACAGATAGAGGAGCGGTGTCTCGGTTCCTAAGGCCTTCAAAAATATGTGTTTTCCGATGGTCTTAGGCGACCCCTGTGAAAGGTTGAGAACCGCTGTATGCAGTTGCCCTTTATCCTGGCCTACCCACGCCCATTATTTTGGGAGTGTACCCTTTTTCTGTACACTAATAAATCCACTGCTTGTTTGGTTTTGTTCGCGTGGCTTATTCATACACCTGGAATGCCTGCCGGCAACGATACAAGAACCCCCGAACCCCTCTTCTCTGGTAACAAAGTAGCTGCACATAAAATCTCCACCCAGCATAGTCCTGAATTACAAACCACCTTCCATTGTTTTCTTCTTGTTCTTTATGTTTGTGCTTGTCTCCTCAGCTTGACATGCACACGTTTTATTAGTGTTTCCTCCAGAAAGCTACCTCCAAGTCCACTTTGAATTCTTCAGATACCTAAATCCATATTTATACCCTAAAAGAGAATAATAAAGAGGTGAAGCATCCTTATAATCATATAGGACATGGATTAAGATTTGCTCTTTTCTACTTCATAGGGTTTTGTGAAGATTGAGTAAGGTGATATATAAAAATTATTTAGTTGCGTGCCTGGCACATAGTAGGTGCTCAATAAGTGGAAATGTAGAATTAGTGAAAGTATCAGTGCTGGAGAGAAGGAGGGACTAGGGGAGAAGAAAGTTTTAATCCTCAAGCACACACAGCCTAGAGAGCTGCGTTTCAGAATTCAATCGTGAAATCTAACTCACGCCTAAAACCTGAATTATACCTTGGAGTATGAGCATCCTGCCTTGAAATGGGAAATTAAGCAATTTCACAAGGATGTGCAGCTGTGTTGCCTGAGCCGTTTTTGTCCCAGGCAAACTGGAACAGGCAGTCAGTGAACCTTGGACAACTGAGGAGAGCAGTGCCAGACAGCCTGCAGCCAGCCAGCCGGGGCTGGGCGAGAATACCAAGCAGCCTAGCAGGATGCCAGGGAGAAGCTGCAGGGGCTCAGCAGCAAGTGAGTGGGTGTGCCAGAGACAGCAGCCAGCAGTCTCTGACGTCAGCCCCTCCACTTCGTCGGCCTCTGCCCTGCCCACCCCCCTTCCTCAGACACTGCCACTGTCCCTGCTAGCCACCTCCTCTCTCCTTGGGCAAGCTCTTTTATGAGGAGGAGGTGGGGGTGCTAAGAGGACGTTTCAGATGGTCCGCAAGCCCCAATGGTCTTTTTAGGTAAGTGACTCTCAGGCATGATCAGGCCAGGACCTTGGGTGTTTTTCCTCTCCATCTGCCTTGTGAAGATTTGAAGCTAAGGGTAGACAGATGCTGGTGTGCTCAGGTCAGGTGCCTCAGCCTCTTTGGGCAGGTCCCAGGGTTCCTTAGGAGTCCCAAAGATCCTATTATGCTCGCTGAGGAGCTCACTGGACCAGACCTCTAAACTATACCTTGGAATACAAGCATCCTGCCTTGAAATGGGAAATTAAGCAGTTTCACAGGACGTACATCTGTGCTGCCTGAGCCCCTTTGTCCCAGCAAACTGGAACAGGCAGTAGACCTCTGACAGCTGTGGGTCTGCAGGCTCAGGGGGAGTCATTTTCACTGGGTGTATAGGAGACACCATGGGCTTCTCTAGGGCATGTCGAGGTCCTTCATGGGGATGTCCTGGCAGCTGCCTCCCAACAGGAGTCCTCCTGGTTGTCCTTTTGACTCTCATCAAAACCCCCCAAGGGCATACACCTTGAACCAGGAAGCCTACGCTGGGACTCATCTCTGTAAAACCCTAGACTGTTCCTCAGTTGGGTTTTTTAAGTGTCTTTGTTATGATTAGATTGACATAAGTTTTAGGAAGGAAAATTACAGATGTAAAGTTCTGTTTGCTTATCAAGGGTACATACCATCACCATATGTTATCACTGCTGATGTTAACCTTGACCCCGTGGCTGAGGTAGTGTTTGTCGGGCTTTGTACTGTTAAGCGTGGAACATTTTTTTGAGGCTTTTCCTTGTATTTTGGGAAAGTACAGGGCCGTCTGGACTAGTGCATTTGTGTTCTTTCCCATGATATCAGCAAGATGTTCCCTGAATATTAAGGACCCTGTTATTTTATTAGAAACTGAGTTGGCCTTTTCATCCATCGAGTTCTGACTCTCATTTTTATTTGTTTGGGGAAAATCCTCAAGAGAATGTCTTTGGTGTGTGGGTTTATGCCCCTGTCATTACTGATTTTCATCCCTCCTAGAATGGCAGCTCCTTGACAGAAATGGTCATGTTTTCAATATGCGGGCACCGTATACTATATACATACACTGTACACATATACATGTGGAGGTCATGTCTTCGTTATGCGGGCACCGTATACTATATACGTACACTGTACACATATGCATATGGAGGTCACGTCTTTGTTATGCGGGCACCGTAAACTAGCCTCCACCCTATGCCGTGTGCCTTCCCAGCCCACATAGTGCATGTACACCGGGAGGCTTCATGGCGCTTCTAGTATGCATTTGTTCTTTTCTTCCTCTGGGGGAATTTGAAGACCAGAGAAATCATGTGCTGTAGAAAGAGCTTGGACTTGAGATGTTTCCCTTCCCTTGAGTCTGGGTAGGAGAGGAGGACGGTAAAGGAATCAAAGTCAAAATCAGCCTGTTGCACTCCAGCACTAAAAACCTCTGATGTTGGAATCCAAAGTGACCACTGAAAGAACTTTTATTTCACTTACATAGATGGTATTCCAGTTACTGTTGCTGCTTAGCAAACCACCCCAAGCGTAGTGGCCTAAAACAATAATAATCATTTTGCTCATAAATCTGTAGTTTGGGCAGGGATCATCTGTCTCTGCTCCACTGAGACTCAGCGGGGGTAGCTTGACTGGGGCTGGAACACCCACTTTCAAGATGGCCACTCTCATGGCTGGCGAGTTGGTGCTGGCCGTCATCTGGAAGTTCAGGGAGGACTGAAGGCCAAAGGCCTCAGTTCCTTTCCACATGGGCCCCTCCATGGGCTTCTCAGCCTTCCTCACAGCTTGGTGCTGGCTTCTGAGAGCAAGCACCCAAAAGTAAGAAGTAGGAAGAAGCTGTGCCACCTTTAATGACCTGGCCTCAGAAGTCACATAGCATCACTTCAGCCATGGCCAGAAACCCACCCAGCCAAGGGGAGGGACATAGAGCTCATTTGTCATTAGGAGTTTCGTTTTTAATGGTGGTCATCACAGCTGTTACAATTGTTATGTCCTTGCCTGTCTTTATAAAGCATTCCTCTGCTCATATAGGACATTTTTTTGGATCAGAAATCTCTCAGTTGGCCAGCTGAGTGGCTCAGTTGGTTAAGAGCTCGCTCAAGGGTGCGAGCTCTGAGCAACAGCAGTTCAAGTCCCGCCCGAGCTAAGCTGCTACTGAGCAGCCACCATGTGGCAGGATGGCTCAACTAAAAAAAAACAAAAAAAAACTCTCAGTCCCCAGTGTCTCAAGCAGCCAGAGTCAGAGAAACTCAGGTTTAAATCCTGGTACAGCTACGTGGTACCTATTTTGACCGTAGACAAATGACTGAACCATATGTTAACATGGGTATGATGAGAAGCCTTGGGCTGCAAATTCATCATTCTTGCCTGTTTCCTGCTCCCAGAAGACCTATGCTCTCTCTCTCTCTCTCTCTGTGTGTGTGTGTGTGTGTGTGTGTGTGTGTGTGTGTGTGTCTGTGTGTGTGTGTCTATGTTTGCATATACATGTAAGTGTTTTTGTTGGGAAGCTGTGATCTGTCTGCCTCCCAGAGCTGCAGCACAAGGTAAATTCATGCTGGCTGGAGGCCATGGGTGTGTCTGGGGCAGCCAGGCCCCACCTTGCATGGATTTCTCACTTGCAGTGTTTCAGAGAGATTGTACTCGGGGAAATAATTCCCAGTGGAACCATGGACCTCATTCAGTGCGACTGTTGAATCAGCGATCTCCAGACGTTTCTGAAACCCGCCAGGTGATGGCCTCAGGTGGCTGTAAGCACAAAGCAGAACCTTCTGTCCTTTAACCCTGTGATCAGAGCCATCTCCCCAGCAGGACTTGATGGGAAGGAATATTTGGAACATGGCTGCCTAGGGAGAGAGCAGCAGTAAAGATTTGCTCCCCCAACGCCTTGGTTTCATAAAGAAGCCAAGGTCACAGGCATGACTACCTCTTAAGAGCAGTTGCCCAGCTCACCCTAAAGTCGATGATGCATATTTATTTCTCAGTAAGGGAAACCATGCTCCAAGTAATGAGTTTACGGTTGATCTTTAAAACATTGACGTTCAGAGGATGAAACACACTGGAATACCAGGGCCACAGTGATATGAAGAGAGCACTGTGAGCTTGGAGCATCAGTGGGATTGGAGGGACAGTGAGTTGGCCTGGGTCCCGCCTGGCCCTAACCCTGTGTAGCTGGTATGGTCAAGGGCAAGTCATTCCTCCTTGTTGGGCCTCAGCCTTCTCATCCATAAAGTGAAGAGTTAGGTACCAGAGAGTCTCCTCTAATTAAAAGATAATCTTGAAATTAGAAAAGCCGTTTTTTGGGCAAAATTGTATGTTATTGCCCACATAGAAAACAGATTCCCTGATGCTCAGACTTGGTATGCTGTGGACACTCTTTTCTTTTGTTGTTGAAACATCAGATGCAGAAGCTAAATTTCCAAGTGTTGCAGTTATCTGTTGCAAAACAAACCACCCCAAAACAGTAGCTTAAAACAACAACAGTAATTTTGTTCATGAATGTTGGGGTTGACCAGGCTCAGCGAGGTAGCTCTCACTTGGGGTCTCTTATGTGGTTGCAATCCAGTAGTGGCTGGGCTGGGGTCATCACCTAGGCTTCTCCACTCTCATGTCTGATGCGTGGCTAGGGCTAGAACAGCTGGGGCTCCTCAGGTTTTTTTCCCCACTTTCCACATGTTCCCTCCACACCCTCTCCACATGGTGGCCTTGAGGGAGCTGGAGTTCTTACATGGAACTGAAGGCCCCCAAGAGAAACCTGCAGAAGCTGCGAAACCTTTCCTACCCTGGCCTTGGAAATCACATGGTGTCACTTCTGCTTCATTCTGTTCATTGAGGAGGTCATAAAGGCGCACCAAGTTTCCACAGGAGGGGAAACAGACTCCGCCTCTTGGTGGGAGGAGTGTCAGAGACTTGCACATGTGATTTTAAATCACCATGCCAAGCAGCCAGGATGGCGGAGCTGCCGTCTTGCTTAGTGACGGGATGGCTTAGCGGACTTCTCAGACCCCTGTGACTCTGTCACAAGGTTCAGAGGCAATGAAGACGATACCTGGCTGTAGGAACCTACTTTAATGGGGAGGGAAGCTCTACTTAGAAGAGGAAGATATTTTAAATTACAAAGAAAATGAGGTAGAGCTCTGTTTATATGTGTAAGAGAAAATGTATCCATGTAACATATATGTCTTGTCTGTGTGTATAAGCGATTTTAAGAGAAAAATATTACTATTAATTTAATTAAGCAATGGCTTGCATGAGATGCCAGGATCCGGGAAAGAGGAGAGAATTAAAGCAGGAGTTTTCAGCCCTTATATTGTACTACTAGAAGTTCTCTCCCCCAGCCACTCTCAAAATAAAGTTAATTGACTGGATTGTATAAAAGAACCCCAAATGTGTGATAGAGAGCTCTGAAATGGAGCTAGGAGAAAACAGGCAAGAAGGAAGAAAAGTCAAAAGACCAGAATTAGAAAATCAATCCCCAAAAGATTGTAGATCATTGCTTTCAATTGCGCAGAGCAGCCTGCGAGGTGGGCAGTGAGATGAAGTGGTTGAGAGGACAGACTGGGGAGCCGTGCTGCCAGAGTCTAATCACAGCTCACCATTCCCCAACTGTGTTAGAGCAGGCAGGTTCCTGTACCTCTCTGTGCTTTTCTCAACTGCGACAGGGAGCTATTGGTAGTCCCTGGCTCATCAGGGCATTATGAGGATGACGTCAGGACAGGCTTAGCCCTGGGAGCAGCACATGGGACACAGGAAGCACTCGGTATGTATTAGCCATTTCTCTCTTCACCAGTTCCCTCCTTGCCTTTGCCAGATGCAGATAGCATGCCCAATATGGACTGTGGGCAGCCAACCAAGTAAACAGAATGAGGGCCTTTTCTTCCCCTGGGTCCTAGGATCACGAATGCATTGGAATTCTGCGTAGGAGGAGGCCTTCATGGACATCTGGGCTCCCATCAATCTGTAGGTTTCCACCCCACACACATGCTTGTCCTTGTTCCAACGTACTTTACAAGTCAGTTTCACAGCTAAAGCACATCAAGCTACCTTTTAGCTTTAGTCTGTCTTACATATTTGGAATTAGAACCTCCAGAGGCCATTGTGCAAATCAATGCAAATGATATGCAAAGAGGCAGTAGCCCCAGATTGTGGGGAGCCAGCGCAAAGGGCCTTGAACAAAAATTTGCATCTGTTAGGGGATTGAAGGCCTTGCACAGCTATGGTGACAGTGTTCTGCCCTTTGCCTTCAGTTGTTAACCTTTTGTGCCCAGGAGGAGAGGTAAACGCTTGTCTGATTTCCATACTGAAGGTGACAGTAGAGGTTAAGGGTGTTTGGGCGATGCAATATCATAGCATTTTTATGAAGCAAATGGAAACTTGCTTTGAAACTTGCTGTGATCCCCAGCCAGCTGTGTATTCTTGGACAAGTCACTTCATTTCTTCCGTTGCTCCCTCTGTGAAATGAGGGGATTAGATTAAGTTACCCTAGGGCCCCTCTCACTGTGACACCTAAATGTCTTCCTCTAGGTGAAAACCCTTTGCAGCCTGGATGGCAGTATCCGTTCCATGTACCCAAGGTTTACTCTAAAGTCGAAAGAAGAAATGGCTCAGAGGCAACTTAACAGTCCTCTTAGACAGAAAAGTAACCGTAAGGTTGCAAAGGCAAACATATTTACTTACAGCAAGAAGGTTCCCGTCAGACACTTCCCAGCTGGGAGGGTTTGAGCCCCTGAAATGCTTCTGGTGGGAAAATCAAGGGAATTTCTTTCCCTGAGTATCGTAAAGACCAGGATGTGTTAACCTCTCTGTCTGCTCTGCCACCCCAGGCCTGTCACTGGGGTCCGTTGGGGTCTGTCTGAAAACTATGCACTGCCCTTGATGCCGCTGCCAAAAGACTGCGGCATCCGTCCTTGGTCTCTGGCCTCTGATTATATCCAGTGCGTCTGGTGCGCCACCTCAGGTATCCTCTGAGCCCCTAATTTTAACTCCAGCTGTTGCGGCAGCCACCAGCTGGGTGCAGGTGTAACCAGACAGCCGCTGTCTGACGCAGCCACACAGGCCTCGTGCAGGAGTGAGGAAGTGCGGTGGGACGAGCACCCGTGGGCCCGTGGGGGTGGGAGCTGCTGGGGAAGGAAGTGCTCCTCCCATGATGACAATTTGAGGTGCAATCTACTCGAGCTCCTCAGAGCTCCCCAGAGAATTTGAGTTGTCCACCCTCATCAGCTCATCATTTGCCCTCGAATTGACTTTCCCTGTTTCACTCATTTCAGACCCCATGGCTGTCCCCTGAAATTGCTTCCCTAAATAAACTACCTGCACACAAGCCCCGGCCTCCACCTCTCCTTTTTCAGGGGTCTCTCACGTAAGACACTTAATTCAAGCTGCCATAACAAAGGGCTACAGACTGGGGCGTTTAAACCACAGAAATCTGGTTTCTCACAGTTCTGGAGGCTGGCAGTCCAAGATCAAGATGCTGACTGCGCTGGTGTCTGATAAGACCTCTCTTTCTGACTTGCCAATGGCCCCTTCTCACCATGTCCTCACGGCCTTTCCTCTGTGCCAGTATTCCTGATGTTTCTCTGTGTGTCCTAATGACTCAACTCTTCTTATAAGGACACCAGGCAGATTGGATTAGAACCCACCCTCGTGGCTTCATTTCACCTTAACCTTTTTAAAGGCTTTATCTCAAATGCAATCACATTCTGAGGCACTGGGAACTAGGGCTTCAATGTATGAATTTGAGGAGAACACAGTTCAGTTCATAAGAACACTTATACTGAACCAAGGCACTCAGGAGCCAAGCAGAGGCTTCTAAGGGAATGTCCCTCAAAACATCAGGGGTCTCCATCCCAGTGCTAAGAGTAGATCGTCCTTGTGGTGTTAGACTGCAAAGGAGGGGCTGAGTACCCTTGAACTGGTCAGAGCATAGCAGCATATTGTTTCTTCTGTGGATGCAGCTCCTGTCTTCTTCTTCCTCCTTCTGTGTCACTGGAGATGGTAGACCAGGAAAAGCATGCCTTTCAGATACAGCCCTGTTTTCACATACTTCTGCTACTGGAGGACTTGGAACATGTTACTTGATCTCCCTGAGCCTCAGTTTCCTACCCCAGTGAGTGGTTGTGAGGACTAAATCGAGCATGAACAACCACGCTGGAACAGGTGCTCAGTAAACAGTTTTTAGGATTGACCTGAAGAAGCGAGCACACTGTTGGTGTATGGGCTAGATCACAAATGAAAGTTTAGAAAAAACAGGTTGCTTAGGGCAAATTGTTGGTCCTAGAGCTAATGGGTGCTGTGGTCTCTGTTGGATCTACAGTCCCTCGGCCTCCGCCTACCCACTAATTTCAAAGCACAGGGTGAGGGGGACAGTGGTCCACTCCAAGACCCCACCCCACACCTAAGTCAAAGGTAACCCGAGGGGTGATCCTGGGCCTTGTTTCAAAGGCATGCCAGGAGATGATCTCACCTCTCTGTTTCCTAGAAGTTCACCAATATGGCGGGCCAGCCGCCACAAGTCGATCAGTACCCGAAGGGGGGAGTGGGAATGAATAAAAAGACACTCACACAACTGCTGATGCGGCCGGTCTTCAGTGATACTGAAGCCCCGAGTTTATTTCCCATCACCAATATATGCAGTTTGAGTATGTGCAGTTTAACAATGAAAATATGCATTACCTCAGTGAAAGTAAATCTTTAACTTTTACATAGAAACTATAAAATCACTGAAACTCCCAAAAGTAATCATCCCATGACAGAATCTATCAATTACCCCGATAGCCATCAATCCTCTGTGTCCGGGAACTGGCCGTTCTCACCAAATACCTCAGCAACTTGTAAGCACCCTCCAGATAAGGCAGAGACAATGCCTTAGGAGCAGAATCAGGTTAAGCATTAACCGAGCCAGTCTGTAAGGCTCTGAATTACCTGTAACCATGGCTCCCCACACACCAGGGCCTCTGCCTTCCCGTCAGCAGCTCTGCTGACCATCCGAAACTCCCAGGAATCACCACCGGGGCCCAGCGTTGGCCATCGGTCTGCTGGAATGTGGTGGGGGCGGGGAGGCTCCGAGAGCAGAACCAGATAGAGACAGGTCTCTGCTCTTCCATTGCTGGGCAGGGAGCAGGGCTAAAGGAAGGGCGTGAGATGACCAAGCGGGGGCCGGTGTGAAAAGCAGGCGTTCACGGGTCAGACAGGCCTTACGGGTCTGCCAGGCCGCTCCTCAGCTGTGCAGAACAGCTCTCTCCAGGCCCTTGTTGTACAGGGGTGGCCCGTCTTCCCGTCTATAATCTGATTAGGTCCTATGTCTCACATTTATGTCAGATACCATTTTTACAGATAGGCACATGCTGTTGTGTTTCATAAAATCCACATGTATTTGGAAGTGTTTTTAAATTTGTACGTTTTTGCCCTTGTGCCTTTTCTCTATGAACCAAGAGCACACACTCTGACCGTTATGCAAAATGCATGACTTTCTTTTAATGCTCCAAAGGGCTCCTCCTACTCAGAAACTCTGGGCATCACAGTGACGTCCCACAGAGAGTTTAGCCGCGTGAGCGCCACAGGAAAAGCAGTTAACACTAACGACAGTCATAAAACCAGCTGGCCTTTATGGGACACATCTCTCCCAGGCTCCGTGCTAAGTGCTTTACGGGCACCTGATCTGGTCGCCCTCCCGTGGACCACTGTCCCCTCCTGCCTGTCACTCTCCAATGGCACTGAGACGTCTCTGCCTTGTTTTGAGATTGTTTGTGGGTTTGTGCGAGCCCGTCCAGAGCCAGAGACTGCCCTGTTCATTTTTGCATCCGCCAAGATCAAGGAGAGGGTAGACCCTCCTTAGTTGCCTGAGTAAACAGAGGTTTGTCCGTGTGTACTATTGTCTGGTTCGTAAATGGAAGACTGAGAGAAGGCATGGCAGTTGGTCAGCTCTGCCCACCTAAGCCTTCTCATTTCACTCAGGGTGGCTCCCAGGGCCGCCAGCTGTGGCCAAGCTGACATTGACCACTCCCTGGCTGCAGACGGCCAGGAGTCACTCAGAGGCCACAGGCTATCTTCCCACTCCCAGCCCTAGCCTTGGTGGAGGGCATTTGGGAAAGGATAGGCCTGCCCAGTTTAGCTGGCTCTGCTTCCTCTGGGGCTGGGTCTCTTCCCGACAGTGCTGGGCGGCACCTACCTCACAGACCTGCCCGAGCCCACAATTCTGCATCTGATGAGTGTCAGGACCGCAGTGTGAACGTCGGGAATTTCCCCATGTTTCCCTTAAGCACCGTCGCTTTACAGGTGCATGGACTAGGAAGGCCCAGGCTCCAGGCTGCTCCCTGGGAATTTCACCTCTTCTCTCTGTCTCCCTCTCAAGGCTGCCTCCTGATCTTCACACTGACCGAAGCACTGGTATTCGCTGTCCAGGACCCGTCTCCCAGGGAATCTCTTCAGGTCCTCCCTTCAGGCACCACCCCAGGCACCATGGTGACAGTACCCCTCGGCTCTACCAGACACACACCCGTGGCTGCTGCCCCCGTCTCTGTGGTGACACTGACCCCCCATCTCGATGGGCCCTCCGCACGCACCGAAGCCCCCACAGCAACGACGACATCCCATCCAGATGGACGGCCTCCTACCAACACCGTCTCCACCGTGATGGCAACAGCATCCACACCCTATGCTGAGGGCTCCCTGACCACAGGGCCCCTTCCTGTTGCCATGACAACCACGTCCTCTCACTCAGAGGGCCGCCCCCTGGGGGAGGCCGGGCCCACGGTCCTGCTGACAAAGCCAACTGGAGCCCCCAGCCGCCCCACCGCAGCACCCACCCGGGCTACCACGCGCAGACCCCCCAGGCCCCCAGGCTCTTCCCGAAAGGGGGCCAGCAGTTCATCACGTCTTATCCTGCCTGCATTCAGTGGCCACTCTAGTAGGAAGGAAGGCCAGCGAGGAAGAAATCAGAGCTCCACCCACTTGGGGCAGAAGCGGCCCCTGGGGAAAATATTTCAGATCTACAAAGGCAACTTCACAGGATCTGTGGCGCCGGAGCCCTCCACCCTCACCCCTAGAAACCCACTCTGGGGTGACTCCGCCTCACTGCAGACCCAGACAGTAGCCACAACCACGGCACCAAGCAGGACCTCATGGGCACCGCTCACCACCCCCCTGGTGCCCGCAGAGGACAAGCCAGGCCTTAGCAGAGCAGACCAGGGGGGTGGTCCTGCCTTCACCAGCCAAGGAGGGGAGCCGGATGCCACAGCAGCCTCAGGCACCCCTGCCAGTCCACAACCTGCCCCAGTGCCTTCTCAGCGCCCCCGTGGGGACCCCCAGGACAGCCCCAGCCACAGTGACTCCTGGCTCACTGTCACCCCTGGAACCAACAGACCTCTGTCTGCCGGCTCGGGGGTCTTCACGGCCGCCACAGGGCCCACCCAGGCTGCCTTCAGTGCCAGTGTCTCAGCCCCTTCCGAGGGGAGTCCTCAGGGAACATCCTCAACCCCACAGGCCCCGGCCCACGCCCCCGGGGCCTCAGAAAGCACTGTTTCCGGAGCCGAGGAGGAGGCTGTGGCCACCCCCATCGTGACCAACAGGGTGCCTAGTCCTCTCTCCACAGTGGTGTCCACGGCCACAGGAAACTTCCTCAACCGCCTGGTCCCTGCCGGGACCTGGAAGCCTGGGACAGCAGGGAACATCTCCCATGTGGCCGAAGGGGACAAACCCCAGCACAGAGCCACCATCTGCCTGAGCAAGATGGACATTGCCTGGGTGATCCTGGCCATCAGCGTGCCCATCTCCTCGTGCTGTAAGTGCCTCGCCCTCTCCCCACTCCTCCCCCCTCCTTCCTCTCCCTCTACCACATCAACTTGCCTGTCCCCAAAACTCCTTTGCCCCAAAATTGGGCAGCCATCACCACATGGGCTGCAAAACTCAGAATCCCAGGAAACAAGGTGGCAAGACAAGAATCATGGGTTATCCCTGCCCCTGGTCCTTGGCTCTGCCAGACCACAGCTCAGATGCCCACTGGTCATAAAGGCGCAGCTCCCACTGGGGAGAGCCTTGCAGGTAGTCCAGTTTAACCCTGCGTTTTGCAAAAAGAAACACCAAGCTGGAGAGGTGACTCCCCCAAGACCCCAGAGTTAGAGAGGCGGGCCTGGGAGGAGCCCTCAGAGTACCTGGTCTTCCAACCCAATGCTCGTGTCGTGGCACCATCCTGCCCCACTCACCCTCAAGGGTAGCCCACTAATGCCTCTAGTGGCATGGCACCAAGACACTATGGGTGAAACTGTCACACCAGATTTACAGCCTCCAAGTAGCAGAGCGCTCGCCTTCCTTTCCTGCTTCACTTCCATCTTTTTTCCTGTCTTTCCTCTCCTCCCTCGTCTCTTCTCCTTCTTTCTCTATTCCACCAAGGAGGAAGCTTGGATCTTGCAGGAAGTTCTGTTAGCCTTGGCAAAAACATAGTTCTTGTAGCTAAACTGAGGCTTGAAAGCTACCTGTGAATTCAGCTATGTTCTCCCTCTTCTCCCGTTTTTTGTTTTTTTTTAAGATTTTTTTTTTAATTGGGGAATTGGGGGAGGGGAACAGCATTGGGAAATCGGGGAAGAGGAACAGACAAGATGCTGTCCTTTTGTTTTTCAGTCTAGTTGTGGAGGATGTCGCTTCACTGGCCCATGTTGTGATCATTGTGCTCTTCCTGGCTGAGGCAGATTGGTCGCCGGCCATTGGACAGTCCCTCATGGTGGCTCATGGCAGCTCACGCCAGTGGCCAGCTGCTCATGCTGGCTGCCAGCAACTCACAGTAGCTTACGGCAGCCCACTGCAGCCCCACTGCAGCCTACACCGTTACTGGCAACTCGCGGCAGCCCAGCTCCAGGTCGAGCTGTTGTTCACCATCTTAGCTGTAGAGGGCAGTGTCACTGGACCTCAATGTGGGATCCAAACCGGGGCCCTGCTACTCAGAGCTTGCACTCCCAAGCCAACTCTTAACCAATGAGCCACTTGGCCAGCCACCATCTCCCAGTTTTGTATCTTCCTGGGTGATGTGAGCTGGATGACCTTAGTATTGTCTTTTGCTTCCACTAATATTGGTGAAGAAGGGCTCTCCCCAGGCCACCAGCACCTCCTTGCTGCTGCCTGTCACTTTTTTAATGAGGAGTTGGGAGGCTTTCTCCCTGATGTCTCTGTAAAGCACCTGATGCAATCGCTCAGGACCTTAGGGCTTCCTGTATGTCTTCTCCATGTACTTGAACCTAGATTCTTAGAGTTTCTCTGATAACCTCACTAATCTCAGCCCTACCCCACCCCAGCACGGTTACCCTTCCTCTGAACCCTTCCTGGGGTAAGAAACCCCCTATGCTCCCCACTCATTGGACAGCCCATTCTTCTTTGACCCTCTCAGGTTGGTACGCAGCTCTCTTGAGGGCCTGACAGTTGCCTCCTTGTAATTTTCAGCCTATGATCCTAAGCCATGCCCTCTAAAACTACACAAAACCAGTCTACCAACCCCTGAAATGCTTGAAATGGCTCTCAAAGGCAGTGTTCTCTTTTTCCAAACTGCTCATCCCTGCTCCTTCAAGTCTCTTCACTGGGCCACACTGCCCTGCTCCCCCAATCTGCCCCTCTAGATGGCCCCCAGTTTATCCCTGCTTCCCTAGAAGGGAGAGCACAGCATTCCACATGCCCGGCCATGCAGAGGAGAGCAGATTGTGGTTCCTTTGTTCTGGACACTTTGGCCCCATTCAGGCAATCTGCACTGGCACCAGCTCTGTTGGTTGTACTGACCGCCACATCACACCATGGGCTCAACCTGATCTCTAGAGGAACAAAGTCCAGAAACTTGCCACGGAGGAGGCTGTGAAGCCAGGTCTCCCAGCCTTTCCTCATGTCCGGGTCGTTTGAACATTAGTGCAGGAGGCGTATGCCTTTAACATGATTTCTTCTTGGCGTTGAACGCCAACAAGGTCTTACTAATCCAGATGCTGGATTCTTCCCAGGAACCACCTCTCCCAGCTCTTGTCTCCTTCTCGTTGATAAGCAAAGCCAACTTTCCATGTCAGGGGTGGGCAGCCTACTTCTGCTCAAAACCCAATTCAGGACAAGTGAAAATGTTTGCAGGTCGCATGTTTCATTGTTTCATTAAGCAGCCTTCGCTCATGGAAATACACATGTATTCTTAAAACCATGCTTGCCCACTGCTAAAACAGAAGAATGGTAATGAGAAAATATTGTACTGCTAGCCAGTAAATTATTAATAATCATCATATTAGAGAAGTAGCCACATTAGAGACAGCTTTCTAGTCTTCCATTCTTCACATGTGTCTAGAGGCTACAGATTACAAAGTGAGTTGCCATTTTCATCATTTCATCCTTAAAATAGATTAGCCAGAGGAATAAAATAAAGGCAGAAACAAACACACTGGCCAAGGAACACACCTTACGGGTGGAAAGTAAGTCACCAGGGGAAGTGACTTGCCTGGGGCCCCAATCACACAGGAGCCAGCCCGGATCTAGCGGTAGAACCTGTTTGTCTGATTCAACATAGTATTTCCTGAGTGCCCGTTGTGTGCCAGGCACTGTGCTAGGCACTAAGGAATCAGAGATGTGTGATGTGGCTCCCTTCCTGCTCCCAGAGCCCTCTCCCCACCTGGACTGACCCGCCCAGAGGAGATCTAGCTTTTGTCCCCATAGGCCACACCCACCTGGCTTTTGCAATTCTAAAAAGACTTTACCAGCCCGTTTGCTGTGTATGAGTTTAAGATTAGATCAGATCTTACTACAAAGCCAGAAGACCCATGGGCTGCCTAAGCCATTCATAATACTGTCAGCCAGACAGAAGCAAGGACATAGCCTGGAACTGCCCCTCAGGAGTGCTTCCCACACTGACCGGAGCCTGCAGGTACTAGGGGTGGAACACATCACTTTGTAAAGGATGACACGGACCTTTGTAGCCCCTGGGAACCACAGACCCCACTGCCTTTGGCGTCTGTCTGCATTCCCACCATCCCCACAGAAAAACTAACGTAGCTGAGAACTGTGTTGGGCAGGCTCCCCTAAATCCTCGCTCACCAAGGTTCCTGCCTCCGCTCTGGCTGCCTCCACATACAACTCCCATCCTGGGTCATGGCCCTGACTCCTGTGGGACCATCATTAACCCTGTCAAGACCCAGATGAGAGGGACAGTATGATAGAAGAACACTTGCCCGGCTTCAGAATGCGGTGGTCTTTCCAAGCACAGATGAATGAGTACACAGACTGTTTTCAGAGCCCGACGCCATTCGAGTCATCAGGCGAGCAAGACCTCTTTCAGGTCTAAGGGCCCCTATCTCAGGCCTTCCCAGAAGCAACGTTTATCCTAAAGCTCACTCTACTGCCCTCCAAGAAGGCTCTCTCTCCTCCTTTGCCAGTTTGCCAGGCAGTTCAGGCAGTCTGGGTGGTAGCAACGTGCATGCCTAGATTTTCTCACACCTGGCTTTCCAGACCAGCCACAGCCAATGGCCCTGCTTCTCCCCACCCACCAGAAGCCAGACCTCAGATGGCTGGGACTGCTGGGAAGATGGGTGATTCCCCTGCTCTGGCGGAAGCAGGGGGTGGTCCTAGCAAATCTCAGGCCTGCCCAAGGAGAGAAGCCATCCATTCCGTCTGCCCTTCCAGACCGTGCGCCCCTCCCAACGGCTGAAGGATATCTGTGCCAGGACTAAGAAATGCTTTGTTTCCTGAGCTATGCCAGGGACAGCCACACATGGTTTCAGACGTGCTGAGAACCAAAATTGATTGGATCCAGGCCACGTTTGGCTGGGGCAAAGGAGCCAAGCGGCTCCTGAGCTGGTCTCTGCTGCCACCATCAGGACACATGGAGCCCACCACCTCCTGCTAGAAGTCCCTGGGCCTGGCACTGAATTGATCCTTGCTCACCTGTCAGTGCTCTAGGTTCTCATCAGGAGGTTGGTTTTGTGTCTCTACCAGGCACCCTGGCCTGTTTTGCACATGGCACATCCATTCTTGAGAATGTCTTCACCCAGCCTCCCTGGAAAAAGCTGGGGACTTTATGGAAGGTGAGAACAAGAAACAAGGCCAGCTGATATTTTTCATTGCCAGCCCAAGTTGAGCCTGGCCGAAGCAGAGAAAGAGCAGCACCTCTCGCTGACCTTGCATGTCTGAGGGGCCATATGCTCCTTACCCCAGAACAGCCTGGCCTCCTTCCAGATGTATAGTACATGTCACTGGAGTATCAGTACTGGAGTAACAGTGTTCAAACAGATAGCATGTCCTTGTGCCCATCACGGTTCTTGACTCTATTCGTTTTTCTGCGAATAGTAGTCATATATGAGTTTATATCTATACCTTTAACTCACAGGCCCGGATGACTTTGCCATTATTATGTAAGAAAACCTGGGTCAGAATTACTCTTTCCAGTGAAAAGAATAGAAGAAATTGGGACGAGAAGGAAGTGTGACTAGGAGTTTTGTCTCCCTGGGGCTCATGAACTAGTCAAAGGAGGAAGCGGGGGAGCAGCCTCAGGGAAAGGCAGGGTTGTCCAGGGGGTGTCTCCTCAGCGAGACCAGAAAGTCATGCGCACGCTCAACATTCACCTCTTCTCTGTGCTTCCCAACCAGCGCCCCCTGGTGGGAACTTCCTTGGGCTGCCTCAGGCATATTCCCACCAGCCAGGATGGGGAACCAGACTGTAACCCCCAGACCTGGTTCCCCTGGGCCCATGGCCTCTTGTCCAGCCTGGCCCCCTTCTGTACCCTGAGGCCTCCCTGGGCCCCCTCCCTCAGCCTCAAGGAGAAAAATGATTGTCCACAGCCTGGCTCCTCCCTCAAGTTGCCACTGCTGGAGCCATTCTTCCCTGGAAGGTCTCAGGTTTCTCATATACAAAGTGAAGCGGCCGCACTGAACTGTGTCAGACCTCCCTGTCCTCTCTAACATTTCCTAACTTTAAACCTGCGTGAATCACTGGAGGGGAAGCCTGGTGTGATGGGAAGACTTGGCTTGGGGATCAAACACACCTGGACGTCACCCCAGCTCTCCCACTCGTAGCCTGTGGGACTTGGACAAGTCACTTAACCGTTGGCCCAATGTCTTCTCACCTGTCCGAATAGGACTAGTGTCCACTGTGCTAGTCCAGGGCCTTCAGGAGGCAGACAGCGACATGGGATTAGGCCTGCAAGACATTTGTTGGGGACACACCTTGACTTGTAAAGGAAGGGACTGAATTAGGCAGGGAGAGCCTCGGAGCGCACTGTAGGTCTGACATCTGAGAAAGAAGAGAGAAGAGCGAAGACTGGGTAGGAAGAGCCTTGGACTGCAGTGCAGTATTAATAACATTTCCGACAGGCCAATGGGAGTCCTCGGGCCATTAGAGGGGTCCCCTGTCCTGCAGGAACAGGCCTGAACTAGTACCTGTGCTACAGCCAGTCACGGCCAGGAGCAGCCCGGGAAGCATAGCCTCAGTACATTCCTGGTGGCGGGTCCAGCAGGCAGCCGCTGGGGCTGTCCCGAGCTGTGCTTCCTGCAGCAGCAGATCTGAGCGGAGCGTTTTCACGGCTGCAGCACCCACCCCAAAGACGTACTGTGAAAATCAGAGATGATGCCTCCAAGGTCCTCTCACAGTGTCTGCCATGGAGAAGGTGCTCAATAAATGGCAGGGGTCAGATAGCGATTGTTTAAGTTGTTAGGATTTGCTGTGCATTCTCCAACAGGCCACGGAGAAAGCACCTTTAAGCAGGTGTTTTAAAATGTTGAATCCTCAGGGAACCTGTAGGGTTTTCTTTCCATTTCCTGTCACAGTGAGTACCATCCCTGGAATCACCCCTCTCCCAGAAATATCAACACAGTACCCAGGGCTCTATCTTAAAATCAGTGACCTTCCTCCTTCCTGTCACACATCTGACAGGCCACCAACGATTCCCCATTGACAGCCCCGGGAAGCCAAGAGAACTTGCATAGTTCTGCTCCAGTTTTACATCGTGAGGAAATAGGGATCCCACTGACCTCCTCCAGAGTCTTGATGGCTTGTTGCCTTTAGAGAAACAGCCGTTGAAGCTTCAACTAAATCGGAAAGGGGGTGGCTAACACCTTGTGTTTGCACAGAGCTGTGTGGTTTACAAAGCGCTTCAGTATGTTCAAGCCAAAATGGACCAGCAGGCATCAACCTAAGGGTCACAGAGACCTGGGATCAAGTAATGAGCTGGGTGAGCAGGATGGACTGTGTTAACTTCTGTGAGCTTCCGTGCCTCTTCTGTAAATGGCAAGAGCAGCAGTGCCTTCCTCGGACAGTTACTTCGTGGGTGAAGTCAGACTGCAAAGCGCCTAGGTCAGCGCTGGGAATACGTGAGACTCCCTAAGTCTGGGCTGTACTCTTCGTGCTTAGAGCAAAGGTCAGACCACAGAAATCATGGAAATTGTAAGCCACAGGTGGAGCCTTGGCCTTGAGCCACCCAACGGTCTCACGCTGCCCGGTTTTTCTTTCTACATCTCTCTTGAGGAAGATGCTGGGAGAATAAGAAGAAAACGCTCCTCCATGAAGCACCTGTTGGATGTCAGGCACTGCGCTAGGCACTTTGCATTCATTATCTCTTTCACTCTCATTACCACCCTGTGGAGTCCATAGTCATCAGCTCGGTGAAGTGACTTACCTAGTGAACATGTGGCAGAGTCAGACTTGAACCCAGGTCTTTTGGACTCCAAGCCCATGCTCTTTCTATAGCCAGCCCCACTTCTAGTATGTCAGTGAAATGACATGTGAGAGGTACTGGGAACTCCTGAGAGAAATCGAACCAGGCCCAGAGCACTAACCGCACTGAGGGGAGAAAGCTAGGAACAGGACCGCCCCTGTCCCCACCCCCAGGCCATCCCACAACAGTGCCCACCCTTCCCACAAGCAGGATCCTAGTCCTGTGTCCTAAATAGGCCCAGGCTCCAGTGCAGGGCAGAGTGGACGTAGAGAGCACTGGACTGGGGGGGAGGGGGGGGACCAGGGGACCTAGATTCTGCAACCTGTGCCAGCCCAGGTTCGCAGCACGGTTTCACAGCAGCCTAACCCCCTCATTGTGGCTGCTGTTTCACCAGCTTGAATTCCTCCAGGCTATTTCACTGTCCCGTTCCAGGAGCAGGGTTGAGAGGTGGTGACAGTGAAAATATGGACACCAGAAACAGGAGACAAGACCTGGGCTGTCGTCCCAGCCCTGCCACTCATAGCCCTGTGACCTGTGGCAGGTCAGCTAGATCCTTTAGACCATAGTGTCCTCATCTGTGGAATAAGGAGGTATGCCTAAGTTAGCAGGTTGTCAGGCTGAGTTCTGCAGCTCCACCACCCCCATTCCTCCTTCAACCAGTCAAAGAAAGGGCTTGAAGGAAGGAAGGGAGGGAGGGAGAGAGGGAAGAAGGGGGAGACCCACAAAATTTAAGCAAATCTGTACCAGCCAGTCTAAAATTTCTTTTAGCTCAAGCATTCAGAATTTCCTTTATATTTTTAAAGCTTTTTGAAAGGGGACCTGGAAGAATGGTGAGCAAATTAGAAGTCTTTTTGATCAAAGCAGATTGGATGAAATGGAACCTTGCCAGATCTCTTGACCTTGCTTGTCTGGAGGCCTTCTCAGGCTGAGATGCTGGCACTGCCAGCAGCTGGGAAGAGAACCCCAGAATTCCTCCATCAGGGAATTTCTTCCCACAGAGGGCCGAGGTGTGGGTCCTGAGGTCTCAGTTCCTGTGTGCCGGCTTTTGCCCCTACCCACGAACCCTTGCATGCAAAGTTCCCTCTGGTGCTGGTCAAACCTCAGACCCCTGTGGACAAAGCTGGCCCTCTGCTGCCCCCTGGTGGCCATTTCCGTCATGGTGCCAGTCGCTGTGACAACTCAGCCTGGGGTCCCCTCTCCTCAGCACAGATGGTTGGCACCTCCGGGATGTTGGGTGCAGCCCTGCCCTCCCCTGGCCTGGAATTTTAGCTACAGGCTCTGGTGGTGGCGAACCTAGACAGGATATATTCAGTCTTCATTCACTGGCTTCTCTCCAAGAGGGCTCTTGTCACCCTTGTCATTGTATTACCTGTTCCACTGTGAGCCTGGACAGGCCATCCCAGCTCTGCGACCTCAGAAGCCTCCCGTGCCAGCATACCCAAGCCACTCTGTCCACTCCAGTTCATCAGCAGTATCCAAACATACTCCTTCCTCCCTGGGACCCCATCCATGAGCCTGAGATTGAACGGACAGGGTCACGTGTCAAGTTGTGTAAAGCCTTGATCAGGCCCGCCTGTGGCCTGATTAGACTAGCATGTCTTTGTGAGACAGAATCATGAATGGTTAAGAGCACAGACTTTGCAGTCCACATGTCTAGGTTTGCTCTTGGGCAAATCACTTTACCTCTCTGAGCCTGTTTTCCTGTCTGTAATATGGGGACCCTAATAGTATTGGCCTCATGGAGTTAAGTGGAGGATTAAATGAATTCATATTTATCAAGTGTTTGGAACCCTGCCTGGAACATAAACACTATATATATAACTGTTAGCGGCTTTTAATTTTTTTTTGATGATGATGATGATGATGGTGATGCCAGCGCAGCTGTTATACCGGGTCCAGGATCTCTGCCCAGTGATTCTGCAGGAATCAAGGGCTCATTTGGGACAGTTCACTGGGCCCTGCTCCTCTTTCTGCCAGCCTCCCGCTCATCAGCCCAGCAGGGCGTCACAGAGCACACATGCCATTCTGTGCAGCCAAGCCCTGGGGAGCCCTCCCACTGAATGAGCAAGGCCTTTTCTTGGAGCAGACTCAAGTAGTGACACTGCAGCCTCCACAGAGAACTGAAATGACATCCGAGTCTCTTGTCCCTAAGGCCTATGGATGCAGCCTCGAAACACTGCTCTGGCCTCATCTCCTACCTCACTCCCCTCCGGCCATGCTTCTCTTTTCTCACACACATCAAGCTTTTCCCCACCTCAGGCCCTTTGCACATGCTGTTTTCGCGCCTGGAATACACTCTGGAACACACCGCCCCCGTTCTGCACATGCCTAGCTCCTTCCCCATGCTCTGTTCTCAGCGCTAAGGTCACCTCCTCGGGGAAGCCTTTCGTGATGACGCTAAAGCACTCTCTCCCCCAACTCACCTCCATTGTCTCTCTCACTTCACCCTGTTTTATTTTCTATGAAGAGTTATCGCTATCTGGATTTACCTAATTTATTCATTTTGTTTATTGTAAGTGCCCTGACCCCTCTGCACCCCTCCCTACACACACTAGGAAGGAAGCTTATGAAAGCTGGGCAGCTTTGTCTTTTTCTCTCCCTATCTCCCCAGCACCTGGCACAAAGTAGGCACTCAACACATATAGATAGATACTTGTTGAATGAGCAAACAAATGAATGAATGGGGTAAGTGGCTGAATATGTGACTTTCACAGCCTCACCTAGGGACTAGCATCTGTCACTTGGCAGTGCTGGCTCCATGCCTGTCGCCTGCCTCCCCCGCCTCTAACTTGGACCCTCTCCACAGCTGTCTTGCTGACCGTGTGCTGCCTGAGGAGGAAGAAGAAGACAGCCAACCCAGAGAACAACCTGAGCTACTGGAACAACGCCATCACCATGGACTACTTCAACAAGCATGCTGTGGAGTTGCCCAGGGAGATCCAGTCTCTTGAAACCTCTGAGGTAATGAGCCCAAAACCAAGGGGTGCCCCGTGGAAGGGCTGGCCCCACTGCCCCAGAAAAGCACAGGCTTCAAAGAGAGCCATGGAACGTGTGCTCATTTCTTAGCGCCTTGCCCCTCAAAGTGTGGTCCACGGACCAGCAGCAGCAGCACAGTGAGGCTGTAGGCCCCACCCGGCCCTACTGAACCAGGGTCTCCATTTTAGCAAGCATCCCTAGGTGATTTATGCACAGGTGAAAGTTTTGGAAGCATTGTTCTTGAGACTTTGGGTTTCTGGTACCAAGTCAACAAATATTCACTGAAGACCCATTTTGGGACAGATACTCTCTGGGGACTGTGCAGATGAGAGCTTGCACCCAAGGGGTGGTTGAGGTACAGACCCCAAGCGACATTCAAAAACAAAACCAACTAGGGGAGGTACAGGGGAGTTACAGAGAGCTGTGGAAACCCGGGAGAGTAAAGCCTTCACAGTGCACATGCTAGGAAAGATGCATGGATCTCATCAGGCATTCCAGCAAGACGTAGCCTGAGGAAAGGAGGAGATGTGTGCTAGCTATGGCACTGAAAGAAGTGTTTGCCCGAAACACCTGGCTGGCTGGTGAGAGAGCTGGGCTTTGAACCCAGGTCTCCTTGGCTTCAGAGTCCATGCTCTGGAGGTGGCCAGAGGCCAGGGTGCAGCAGGAAAGGTAGCTGGATTAGGCATGCCTTTGAATGGGGTCAAACGGACTTTAGTCTTGGGCCGCGGAGGGTCACTGAAAGTTCTGAGCTTTGTGGAACCCAGTTTTAGAGAGGTTGTGCTGATGGCCCAGTAATGACACTCTGTACATGATCAATGAATGGAGAGAGGAAGGGTGATTTAATGGATTGGTGAATGGATGAGAGGACAGACAGACAGACTAGAAACAAGTAGATCAACTGGGATGCAATTGAGATGGCCCAGGAGAAAGATGGCGGACATCTGAGGAAAGACAGTGAGAGCTGAGAAGTCTGGTTCTGGAGGTGCACGCCCCTTTTCCCCACTCAAGCCCATCCGCAGCAGCCAGAGCGAGCTTTTAGAAACATAAGCGTGGTCATATTCCTCCCATGCTCAGAACCCTTCAGTAGCTTCCTGTGGCTCTTACGGTGTGGCTCAGAGTCTTCCACACGACCTGCGAGGTGGGCCTGGCTCCAGCCCCTTCCCAGCCTCCCAGCATGCCCCTCTCCCCCCATTTGCTAAGCTCCGGGCACACTGGGTTTCTTCTCATCCTTTACAGCACCACGTTCTCCTGCTTCAGGGCTGTGCATGAGCTGCTCCCTCTCCCAGAACGGAATGCCTTCTGTCCCTCCCTAGCACCCCCTTCACTTGTCTCCTACCCATCACTCAGGCCTAGTCTACCATCATTTCCTCAGAGAGGCCTTCCCTGCCTTGCCAGGTTGGGTTCGGCTCTCCTACTGCACGGTCTCAGCTCCTTATGCTTGTCCATCATGGCACTTACCAGAGTTGTAAGTATGTAGCTGCTGGTTTGATATTAATTTACTATCCCTCACCCCTGCTAGGCTACCCAGTTGCCTCCACATTGCTAAACCCCGGGGTCCATTCTGAGCTCTCCTCTTACTCGATCTACCAGCAGCAGCAGCGCAGTCAGCCATTTCCTCCTCAGAACGTTTCTTCGCTGGCCTCGGGGGCCCCGTCCCATCCTGGCTCTTGCCCACCTCCAGCAACTCCTTCTCAGCCTCCACCGTTGGTTCCCAGTTCTTTCCCGACCGCTCGTCACTGGAGTGCTCAGGCTCACTGCTCCCACGGCTTCTCTTCCCTCTACTGCGTTCCGTGGCCTCAGTACCATCTCTGCACTGTTGACTGCCAGTTTCTGTCTCTGGCTTTGTCATCTCCCCTGAACTCCAGACTCATATACCCAGCTATACGCATTGTCTAATGGGCATCCCAAATCCAACATGCCCAGGACTGAACTTGACTCCCCCCTCCCCACCCGAAAGCTCACCTGGTGCTTCTCATTGTGCAGATGGCACTGCTGGCTGCCCTGTCCTCTGCTCACCCC